AAAGACCGTCAGAAGCTCAGTTTTTTTGTTATTTTAATTTATATTTTACGGAATTTCATAAACGAATACACAGAGTGACACTGGTATAATATAATAATAATGCTGAAATGCTGATAATAATAATAAACTTCAAAAGTAAAACAATTAAATACCCCGCTAGCGGTGCGCAAATACGTTCCATTTCCCCCCACCGAGTGCCCCAAATTATACCGAAAGTCACGTGACATGTGCGACTGATACCAGACGGACGGTAAATCACGTTAAGATTTGAAGAAATTTCTGTTATAAACTGATATTAATCAGCAACTTTTTAATTGGTCAGATGTCACTGTGTCATAAAATGTTGTTAGAGTATGTTACCGCAACTTGTGACCCTCTCTGGTGCGATATTTGTGTATTATGCAATTATTTAGCGTGAAACGTAGGGGTCCGAGAGAGAACAGCCGATTTATGACACTTCGTTTGATGCGGGTCGGACTAACTTTGAATCGGCATAACTTTTTTAATAATCAAGCAATTAACATGTGGTTTAAAGCACATGAAAGGGAATTCATTTACGGAGGGAACCGTGTCAGGGATTTTTGTTTGCTCAATCAGCGGCTTAATTATCTTTAATTACGTAAAATGTATGGTGAAAAAAGTCGCATAAAATGTTTGACGTTACATAATATTTTTTTGAGAAAAGATAGAAAAAATTTGAGACACGGTTCCCCAGATATTATAAGTATGTTTATTTTCCAAAAGTTTGATGACAAAAAAATAAAAAAGACTTTGATATGACGATTTAAAATTTTAGGATTTTTATTAAAAATAAATCATTAACAAAGGCATTTTTTCAAATATGTTATTTTTTATGATGATCAACGACATTTAATGCACAAAGATTAAATAAATAACAATTATCACTAAAATAAGTTGGTTTAAATGACATTTATGTGAGTACCACGGAAAATGTCTGTTGTCACCTTAAAAAATAAAGCTGCATTGGATGATGCACTTCTATTTCACAACATATCAACCTTTAGTAATTCAAATAGAATATTGTGTCAGCATCCAACAACTTAATGGTCATTGAATTCAAATTTTGATGAAATATCCCTATTAATTTCTATATACTTTATTTCCTTATTCCATTTCTTGTCCAATCATATGATGCATTTACCTTTAGATATTATCTGAATCTGTAACATGATACTATATTAAAATCATAAGGATCGTATCTCACATTGAAGCAACTTTAATTGACAAAAAAGGAAGTTTGACTTGACAGTACCGTCCATTAACAGGCTCAATCAAACCGAGACTGCAACATTTTCAATTTTGCCGTTTTGGACTTTCTTTTGTTTTTTTTATTTTTCTTTATTTCAATAGAAATAATTGGAACGCTAATTGTCCTTCCAAAATGGTTTAAAATCAAAAGAATATGTCGGCGCTGGACGGGGAAATTCCCGCACTGTATAGCGTTTCCATTACAAAGAGTATGCAATCAACACAATAAAGACCTATGTGTTTGAACGATATTTTCATATGTTTACACTGTAGCTAAGACATATATAATCGTAATTTATATCGCATATAAATTCGTTTATGTTTTATTAGTAACCATCACCAATTTCTTTAAGATATGTATTTCAAGCCTATACTGTAACGTTAATTAATCTGTTCCATATGTCTGGAATTTACAACTATATATTTCTTTGATCTTGTGACTGCACAATAACAGCAGGAGATGCGCAAATTGTACACTTTCACATGGGAAGGGAGATTAAGTTGTAATGAATCACGCAAAACCCTTTCATTCTTTGAAATGCGCGCTATTGACAATTTCTATACAGTACCATTTTCTTTGAACTGGAATAACATTTGTTGTTAAATACTGCAATACTTATATATATTATATTCTTTTTTCTTCCCTTACCTCCCCTCCACCCACCGGAACTAGAAGTGAGATAGATAACTTCATTTAACTTGGATATTTTGTATTTTAATGGAATGGTTTTTGTAGTCTCTATGTATCACATTGGACTTTACCTGTATAAGTTTCCTTTTGTTTTTGTTTTACTTTATATTTTTGCATATTATTATCAGCCTACTAACTTGAAGTTAAAGGTTTGTAAAATATTTTTCAAGGATGTAGCGGGCCTACATCAAGTGGTACTAGATACAAGATAAAAGGGCACAGGTTTCCAGACTATGGTTTTTCCTGGGCGAGTCGACCACGATTTGAGAAATATGTTATGAACAGTACTTTATATTATATATACAATATATCTATATATATATATATATGTTGGGCGTGTTTGTTGTCCAACTTTATGTCATCTTTTATAACGGTTGTTAGGTGGTTTTTGTTGTCCAACTTTGTGTCATATATTATACCGTTTACTACAATTGTTTTCTATATGAAAGCGTATTTGAAGTTTCTGGTTAATCTTTTGATTATATCATAATCTATTCTTAGACAATAAAGACGCCTGGCTCTGCCAGAAATTATCAATCAAATTTCTGTGTTTGTATTAACTCTACTGATTATGACACATATTAACAAGGACGAACATGTACCGTGGTAATAGTAAAACATAAAATGCCTTTTATTTTCTTAATTCTTCTAAAAGTTTATAATTTAGAAATAGTCCTGCAAGATAATAAAGTTCAACTATGGCACGAGATTCTCACATTGACGGTTCCATAGTAACCATCGTATAAACATATCTACAGGTGATTCTATATTAATATTAATTCTTTCACCATTTTCATTTTTAAATGTTTTCTTTTGCTTAAGCAGATGCAAGACGGCGTCGTAGGTAGCTTGCACGTGCCACTATTGACCATAAAAAGATTCAATCAAACCAAACCTGCAACATTTTAAATGTGTGCCTCATTGATGCACCAAAATGTCGCCTTTTTCATTCCATCAGAGGTCAGATCCTTGAAGATCGTACAGCACGACATTATTGTTGTGTTGGTATATTATACTTTTCTATTTTTTATCTTTGTGTTTGGTTACACTTTCATGTACAACTGCCGTTATGCAGAGCCTGCAACGTTTTACATTTTAGGCGTTCTTTATGTTCCTATCATCTACTATTTTGCCTACATTAAAGTAACATGAAACATGTAAAACTTTCTTTATATCATAGTTTCTTGTCTAGAATTTATAAGAAAATAAAGTCTAGAAAATATACAAATGTACATAATAAAGCAGGCAAACAACCGTTGGCGTTTGAAATTGAATAATGCATTAGTTAGAGCTTTGGACATAAAATGCTAGCTTGTTAGTCTCATTAAATATCATTTATCTCAAGAGATATTTATTTTTATTTTATTTATTTCTTTAGATATTTATTTATTTATTTATTTAACTTATTTATTTATTCATTTATTCATTCATATATGTAACTTTTTTAACATGGTTAAGTATGTAATATTTACATTAAAGTAAGAAATATAACATACTTAACGATTAACGCAAATAAAAGCATATGTCGTGCTTTGAGGGTACCTATGTGTTAAAAAATGAGAGGGTACCTGTGATATTAAAATTCAAATGAAGAGAGGTAGCCCGTGCTGCTGAAAAACCGAAAGTAGGGTGTTTTTATGAATTTTACATTTATTTTTGACAATATACTGTCATTTGTCTGAAGATGATATTGATATGTAAATTAACATATTTAATATGTATGATGCATATATTATCAAGCCACATGTTCATTGCAGCCCGAAAAATATGTCGAGGTGATGGACGAGGCAAGGCATGTCGATTTTTTGAAGCTTATTGTGAAGTTGCAGTACATGAAAAACGGGCACGTGACAAATCAGCACATAAATAAAACATTCTAGTGTTCCGTGGTATACATGTTTTCTTAGTGTCATCCCTCCTTTCCTTATAACAATGAAATTTAACTGGATTGTTATCCATCGCTGGTTTGTTTTTAGCAGAGAATGACCTGTGCATATGCAAAGAGAGTACCGATTCAGCAGATTTCGCAAAGAGGGTACCGATATGGATATGCACCGTGATAATGATAAACACTTCATTTCTATGTACAAGCATGTTTTCCACAAGTGGCCAGTTTTACATGAAACACCGGAATGAGATTCTGTTATAAAAATATTTTGGTTTCCGGGAAAACATTGCATATAATATCACTATTTTTATAAAAAAAAATGAATGGTAATTGTAACCGTTATTAAAATAAGTCAAAATTTGGTCGACCCATATATAGTTGCTTGATGTAAACCTACCTATTCGTGTCTTGCCATTTGATGCAATTTTAGTTCTTTTGAGAAACCTTAGTTGTTGAAGATACATCTAAATAGAGGAAAGGAAATTTCAGACTAGAAATGTGCCCAAAGGACACGGGTGCCCCACTCCCCACTCTATCGATTTGTCAATCTTATGTCTCTAGGTAATTTTTATTTTGGCTACATGTGCCCAAGTTTAAAACTAAAAATCTTTTATTAAGTAAAGGGAAAATACTACAAATACTGAATAAATCCATAAGAAAACCCCAAGGTGCATAAGCACACATGCTGATGGTCCAACATTCTTTTAAACTTTCAGGCCTACAGGTCATAAACTTTTTGAGTTACGTGCAACACAAGTTAAATATTGTAAATTTTTACAAAGTCAAGGGCAATAACTCTAAAAATACTAAAAATAACCAGACGAAAATACCCAGGTTCAAAACTAAACATGCTGAGCAACATTTCTGTAAGGTTTCATGACTCTAGATCAAATACATTTTATAGTTACGTGCGACACAAGTTGAAAATTGCAAAATTTTACTCGTTCAAGGGCAATAACTCTAAAAATACTAAATATATCCACATGAAAATACCCAGATGCACAACTACACATGCTGATCAACATTCCTGTAAGGTTTTTTGACTCTATGTCAAATATTTTTGGGTTACGTGCGACACAAGTTGAAAATTGGAAAAATTTACTAAGTCAAGGGCAGTAACTCTAAAAATACTGAATATATCCACATGTCAGGGCCACGCCATTGTTTCCTTGAGCAAGAAACTTTACATTCATTGCTTAGTACTGGTTGGTTCCAGGAACGGGTTCGAGAGTGTTTCAATAAGCTTATAACTTCCAACACAATCGAAAATAAAATAAATTTGTATAAACTAAACTAATACAATAATTACTTTGAATGATTTGCAATATTTTACCTGAAACGTGACTTCAGTATACCAAAGGCTTTTTCTACCACCATTCTGCCTCTGCTATGGTGTTTATTGAAGGCTTCCTCTTGTGGTGTTGTCGGATTCACCTTTGGGGTCAAGAGGTACCTCCTTAGAGGGTGCCCACTATCCCCCAATAACAACCCATTATTACTTTGTTCTAAATGTGTCTGAAAAATGATAGGTTATCATAAAGCAGTTTTTTTCAGATGACATAGTTTTCTTTAGAAAATTCACAAAAGCTAGAAAAAATCAGAAAGAAAAAATATTTTTGTCCTTAATCATTTAGTATGATGTTAGCACAAGCATTTACTAATATAATTAGAAGTCCATTAAGGGTACTGCAGCTTTAATTCATGTCATGAGAAATTGATTGTGAAAAATTTCACCTTTAACCCACAAGCATTGAAAATGGCCGCATCATGCTGTGAACCAGGCCACCTTGAAACAACATCTGTGAATCTACAAAAAGTATATTTATTTGATAAGTAAATCTACAACAGCTACATCAATTTGATACATTAATCTACAGGAAATATATTGATTTAATAAATTTATCTGAAGTTGTACTTTTTTTTTATAAATTGCCAGTAGTATGCTTCCCTTTTTTCTCCTTAGCATTTTAATGTTATAAAAGTGTATGTTAAGTTCATCTTCATTATATTGATTTAAACAGTTATCAAATGAAAATAAGTTCCTCCTGGGACACTTCTTGGATTAAGAAACTAAATTAGATTCTATTTTATTTTATTTTTTGTAATTAAACACAGGACTTGAATGTTTGACATAAAATAGTGTACCTCATTTCAGCATCGACTACTGCCTGAACATTAAGAGCATGGAACCCTTTTCTGCAGACATAAGCTGCCTCATCCTGTGATGGACCCTGAATAGGGATGAGGGTTCCATCTACTGCTCCTACAAAAAAAGAAGCTGAATTGATATTTCTTAGTAAGGATTGTATACAAAGAAGTGCCACTTGTGCCTGTAGAAATGATATCAAATGATTTTAAACATAAAACAATGTAACAAGCATTTCCAAAAGCATAATTATTATATTTTAAAACATTGCTTTTAATATATATGTATATATGAAACTAATGTTCAGTAATTAATGATCAATTACCGATTACGTTTGGGATTCTACATTTCTCATAGAATTTCCTCTTCAAATGATGTAATCTTGACCTCTCAGTTGGAAATCTGAAATAAAAGTATAAGTGGTATTTAATTATAGACGTTAAATGAAAAGAGTATATGTACTGATTAAAGAAGTGGTAGGAATAGGGTTTTCCTTTGCTATATGAAACCCCATAAAATATCATATTGCTACCATTATTATCTAATATATAAAACATTATGAACAAGTTAGAGCCATAAGACAGTGAATGCCAACTATTCTTAAAACAAAAAGAGCTGGCATAATGCATTTTTTTTCCAAAGTTTAGAAAGGGCCCCGATTATATCAGACAAAACCCATGTAAGTACACCGGTAAAATATGCACCACATGTTAAATGTATGTGACACACATGTTTTCATATGGTAAAAACATATGGTTTCTTTCAGAAAAGTGCTCCATATGTTTTACATATGATGCAAACACATGTTTTTCATATGGATACACATGAATAACACGTTTTTCATATGGTGGGCCAAAAAAAGGTCACTGTTTGTTACATGTATGATATAGACTTATGTTTTTCACAAAAAATTATTATTTTCATTACAAATGGTAAATTATGTTCCAGAGTTTGGTTTGCTGGAATTCGATAATTCATACAAGTGTTAAGTGTTCAGTACCACGTGTAAGTAAAACTATATGAGCCGCGTCACGACAAAACCAACATAATGGATTTGTGATCAGCATGGATCCAGACCAGCCTGCGCATCCACGCAGTCTGATCAGGATCCATGCTCTTCACTTACAAACTCTATAACAAGTAGAGAAACTGATAGCGAACAGCATGGATCCTGATCAGACTGCGCGGATGCGCAGGCTGGTCTGGATCCATGCTGGTCGCAAATCCATTATGTTGGTTTTGTCGTGACGCGGCTCATATATATATATATATGTATATAATGATGCTTATAAAACAATTTTCAAACATTGATGAATATGTAAAGTATGAACTTCAAATATTTGTCCATACAATATTATATGTAATAATCAAAATATATGCATTCATTTCTTATTAACTCAGAACTTATTAGCTATCATGTAAAGAAATTATTCTTACCTGCTAGTGCTATACTTATGATAAGCTTTATTAAATTATAGACGACATGGACGAGTGCTATGTCATAAATTATTAATCCTTTATCGTTTATTACTGATTTCTCATAACTTCAGCAACTGTTGATATTGCCAGCCATTAAATGTAAAATGAACAGTGTTTACATTTCATTACAAAACACGTTTGCCCATTTTTACAGGTTTGCCCATTTTTACAGGTAATGAAACCGGTTTAAATAATCCTCCTATCATCAGATTATCCTATGGCTATGGGGCTATGCACTCCTTGTTTACGGATCATAATATCTACAAATTCAGCCAAATTCCTCGAAATTTCTCTCCTCTGACGTATTAAGAATTATTGAATTTGTTAATAACATCACTTTTCCTTTCTTTTACAACGGCATTGTTATCAAAGCTCTAATTAAAGCCGTGTTATTGTGGATCCAAGTCTAATGTTTTTGTATGTACACATAACACAGCGCCATGTTTACCCATAATGCTTGGGCTAAAAATAAATCAAGGTTAAGGTCAAACTGCTTTGAGAGTAATAAATACAGTGAAACTTCGATACATTTACCTTCGTCATGCTGCAAATAGACTGCGATCTACCCGTTTTAGGGGAAAGATCAGCCCGACAGAGCTCCTCCAACTCTTTAATTGCTGCTTTATTCAGTCTGTATCGGGAAATGACTTCTCGATCGGTTAAATCATCAATATTAACCGTTCGTTGCCGAAAACAGCGTGATTTTCGTCGGCGGCGTTCGTTTACAAGTAGTAAGGCGGCCATTTTGTTTGATCTGAGACTGCTTCACAGCGATCGCAGAAAAAATGCATGATCTTAGGATAATCGTACGATTATGAAAATCTGCGACGTTTGATAAGACACCGCCAAAATCGTACGATCGACGTACGACAATCGTACGATTAAAACGGTCGTACGACCGTTGATAAGACGGCCCCCAGGTGCACAACTAAACATGCTGAGCAACATTCCTGCAAGGTTTCATGATTCTAGGTCAAATACTTTTTTTTAGTTACGTGCGACACAAGTTGAAAATTGGAAATTTTCGTGAACAGT